TCACAATTGGCAATGAATCAAAACTGTCATTTACAAAACTTGGAACGTATACAAGTTTTTGGTAATAGCATTGTTATTGTAATACCGTACTGCATGATGCAACTTGTTAGTAAACTGGAATTTTTATTATTAAACCTCATCTAGTGTCACATAATAAAAAAAAACAGTGTTTCTAAATTTTTAGATTAAATTAGTGTATTTAGTTGTGAAGAAACCAAAGAAATACAAATATAAAAGAAATACTGTATAACGTGATTACTACTGTATACTAATATATACTTAAGCTGAATTCCATCAGAAAACTAATTTAATCGTCTTATTTTGTGTTTCCATTGAAATAGGGTAAAATAAGTACAATGCCTATTTACACCTTTGAATCGAAAATTATTCGGGAGTTCATCTTTTCGTTAGATTTGGCTTTTGAGACATTACAATATTATATAGTTCATTAGGCAAACACGCTTCAGAATGAACAATACTGTAAGTTCCAACTAAAATAATTTCTGGCGAAAGTATAAGAAAAATTAATATAACAAACAATTTAGCCTGAATTCAGGAAGAAAAGGAAACAGTGGCTCAGCTTGGCAAACTTCCAAATAGTAACTTCTGAGATTTGGAGCGCATTCAAACCGGAGCGAAAATAATTTATCCACAAATGTCACAATGACTTGTTTCCATATTGATTACAAGAAACAGTCAATAGATCTGTACAAGTTACCACTACATATGCAATGCGGAGTGTCTGAGCTTTTTCAATCTCAGCTGTCTCAGTTGTTTCTCTGAAGCAACATATAGTTTTAATGTAATACAAAACTAAATGTTTGCTATGTACAAGTAAAATGACGCTATTCAGTTGCTAATATACAGTTCCGTTTCTTCATCTAGGCAGTATATGTCATAGGTTAGTATTTAAAAGAAATTTACAATACTCGTCTTCTCTGAAGCAACATATAGTTTTAATGTAATACAAAACTAAATGTTTGCTATAAACAAGTAAAATAACGCTATTCAGTTGCTAATATACAGTTCCGTTTCTTAAACTAAGCAGTATAAGTCATAGTTAAGTATTTAAAATAAATTTACAATTTACACTAACATATTTCGATATTTTTTTTTAATATTTAATCATACCAGCGGATAGAGTTGCAACTGTATTGTTAGTTTATCCTACGAAATAGTAAAGTCGATTGAACCAGTTGTACTTCCCCCCTCAAGCTTTGAAATGTAAATCGGATTCAAATCGGAAGTCAGTGAATTGACGGAGTTATATTTATTTTTGACTATTGGAACCTGAGTGTAAATTGGCATCAAATAAAGTTATTTCAATGCAGAAACCACAAAACAAGAAACACTTTGTTTGCTTATTATCTTACATAGAACATGCTGTGGAATGGATTCTACGTCGTAATAGTTACGTTATTTATTTAGAGGAACACACTTTAGATGTTTATTTAAGGTATATTTATAAAGGGGAATAATATTATTTGATGATAGCATATCCAATTAAATAACTAAACTTTGCGAGCATTGCTGTTTACCTTACAGTAGTAGCTTTAATGTGTCTGGGCAAAGTATGTTAATGCATTAATTCTAGTGACTCATTAAATGTACAGTTCATCCTAATTACTTACATTGGCCTCTTGACAGTCAACTACCTTGACTATTTGCCTAAATAAGTCGTTGGCCATTTTGATATAATCCAAATCACAGTTTTAAAAAGTTGATTGATTTTTGTACAGATTACATAGGCTATTTTCTGTAACATTGTTTTTTGTAGTTTCACGATATTGGTACATGCTTATTTTAGTAGACATTTTGCCTTCCTCAACCTTTTCAATTGAAGTGTAAGAGTTCTGCCTCATAAGATGTCCATTTTATTGCACACTGGTTTCTTGAACTTTGAAAGAACGGCGGCATTCTGCAGGAAAGCGTGAAATCAAAATAAAACAAATAGTCATTAGACAATTTAATAACATTTTTACACATTTCAATAAAATTCTACACAACGAAATTTGTATTTCTTTAAAATTGTTTTTTACTGGGTGGCAAATACTTTGAACTCAACCTCCCAGTGAAAAAAAAACAGTTAATACCGATAATACAAAATATATTCTATGGAAAAAACAATAAATACTCATAGTAATTGAGTGGTTATAAGTGGTTCTTTAATTTAAGTTGCACTTTGTTAAAGTTTAATTAGCTTTAACAAGGCAAAATCCAAAATTCAAACCGGAAAATATTTCAACATACGATGTGAAATAATAAACGCGGAAGCCAAGACAATTTCCAGAGCGGAACGCCAATTCCTGCAGCTTTGATCGATGGAAACAATCAGATTTGATCTTCATCTTTCAAGTGATGGAGGGAGGTGTTAGAGGTAGAGTATACGTGTGATTTGGAATATAAACACACCTTCTTCTTGTAGATAACAATTTGCGATATAGCCTAGTACCAACATATTTATATAGATCTAACGATTTTCTTCTCTACTGAACTTTTATGTTATATATTTAGTATTGGCAAAACAGAGGTGTAAGCAATACGCTTCTAGTTAGCGTCCATATAGATAATGTATGTAGTTAAATATTTATTGAGAAAATAATGCCTTTTAACTAAAACGTAGTTTGTTGCACATCTTTGTTTTAAAAAGTGATGTTTTTATAAAACATCGTTTCTTCATGTTTTATATAAAAATTCGCCAATGCTCCTACAGTAACTGCTTTGGGTCCTTTTCTATGAGGCACGTCCGTCCACAACTTTGTATCAGCTGGGTCATACTTTTAGAATACAATAAGCAAAGCTGTCGCATTGGCTTCATTTTTTCAACAATTTATGAGTAATTTATTATTTTTCTGTGTAATATCTGTAATTTTTTTTTAAATTTCTATGAAAATTGTATACCTATTTACTGCGAATAATCAATACGTTTAGCGTTTACTTTTATTGTAAAAACGGGTTTTTTATTTTACACTAGACAATTTTGTTAATTTAGATAGATTGCAAAATATGATCCTTACAACATTTAAATTTATTTTTCTAACAAAAAGATTATAGGTTATCACATAACATTTTTCTCTTTGTTTCTTATGTCCAACAAGTGGTGGGGTTTTAGCGAATTTCCCATATAGGGAATAAGCTATTACCGTAGTACTCATGGTGAGACCTGGACGCGGGACCGATTTTTTTTCATTTTGAGGTCCCTAAAGGCCAAAAACACCATCCGTTCGAATATATATATGTGTGTCCGTTAGCGCGATAACTCAAACAAAAATGATCCGATTTTGATGAAATTTGGTACAAACGTGTAAACCTACGTTTATTCGAACGAGTTCGCGATCCAGCATAATCGGACCATGGCAACAGGGGTTTATGGGGGGTTTTATGGGGTAAAAATGTGTTTTTCCCATTTTTACCCTAAAAACAAAAAGTTTTGCAATTTATTTCTAAACCGTTTTGTAGAGTTTAACAAAAGAAATAATTTAGTATATTGAAGCGCTGTTGTATGCCTAACGGTCACGGAGAAAATTCAAAAATAGTTTAATTTAAAATACCCATGTTATTGTTATGGAAAAAATAAAAATTGTTGTAGTTTACTTGTTTATGGATATATATTGATAAAATTTGGCAAATTTATTTATTTCATCCTATACTATTCACGTATGGTCAAAAAACACTTTTTACCTCCCCCGTAGCAGCAAACCTAAGCACTTGTTAAATTTAATGTTATTTAAATTGGGAATAAATATGTCTTATTTATGGAAATATTTGAGTAAAAATGTAATCAGACAAGTTGAAATTCGCTTAGTCTGCAGGTTTGCTACGGCGGGGGTATTTTACGTTTTCGAATCATACTTCTAACTTTGTGACATTATCTAACTCTTAAAATGCAGTTTGAGAATACACGTTGAAGAATTAAATTAATATTTCAATACAGGGTGATTGATATAAGTGTGCCAGCCGTTTTATTCGAAAACTATAAGAGATATCAAAAACAGTTAAATGGTAAGTGCCTTGGATTTTTTATTAAAAAAATTGTAGTCAAGTCAAAAAAATTAATTTAGCCGCCATTTTTCCAATATGGCCACCAACTTTGATTTTTCTTACGGAACACCCTGTATTTTATGATGTATTCTGGTAGAAAAAGTAATTTTAAGACGATTTTATACTTGTGATTTTTTTCATAAACCTAACCGTTTCAAAGATAATAATGGTTTACGTTGTGAAATTTTGAACGATTTTCGAACAAAACAGCTGGCATGCTTGCTTAGGCCTTTATCGAAACTCTTTCTCATGCAGAAATTTCAAAACTTTAACCATTATTATCTTTGAAACGGTTAGGTTTATGAAAAAAAACCAAGAATAAAATCGTCTTAAAATTACTTTTTCTACCAGAATACATCATAAAATACAGGGTGTTCCTTAAGAAAAATCAAAGTTGGCGGCCATATTGGAAAAATGGTGGTTAAAATATTTTTTTTGACTTGACTACAATTTTTTAAATAAAAAATCCAAGGCACTTACCATTTAACTTTTTTTGATATCTCTTATAGTTTTCGAATAAAACGGCTGGCACACTTATATCAATCACCCTGTATATCGCTGAAAAAAAATAAACTGAGCACATGTCTTTTTTGTAACCAAGACAGAATTTCTGGTGATTAGCAGGACAGTTTAATTTTTTCTTTGACGTAAAATATATAATTTAAATCGCTGGGTAACTCATGTCAGATAAGGAGAGCGAGATTATTATATCTTGCATTACATAATTTTTTCACTCGTGCCTTAAATAGGAAAGTTCGTGCCTTATTTATACTTGTGTCGTAAGGACTAACTTTACTATCAAAGTCACGAGAACGGATAATACAATATAATAGCTCTTATAGTGGAGTCCTGGGTTCATACTGGATAATTATACCTGAAGATTGAAGAAGTACCATGGAAGAACTGTGAAAGGTAAAAAAAAGAAACACTGAGAAGTTTATAAAAAAATGTATTGTTACTATATTACAGACGGTATACCTTTTTGGCATGATGTGTTACGACTAAAATATTGTATCCCATTATCCGTTTAACAGTACTTTTACATATTCAGTTTTATCCGCGTTTTACACTTGGACCTAAAATATACTGTCTCGTGGTTTTAAAATACAAAACTAGTTTTTTAACAATGACACGGATTTTTATACTTAAATTAAACAAACTACTATTGAGTCAAAAACCACAAAATATAATAACTAAACGTATATAGCATTCATTTTTGTTTTTGTATAATCATCCCGGAAAAAATATTTACTTACGAACTAAGTTCCTTATAACTGCTTGTAAAAAAAAACTATAATTCTGAATTCAGTTTACACTTATTCGGTTAACATTATGTTTATATAATTTGAATTTAGTAAACAAAAATTTTATATACAAAACAACTATAGTAGGTATTTACAAAATCGTGTGATAAACAACAATTTTAACGTACTTTATATAATTTGTATTATAAATAAGTAAACGGTAGATAAATCATTGTGCCCCCAAGAGCAGTAGTATATCAAAACATTAATAAATAACCTAATGATTAACTACTTTTTTAAACTTTTAAAACAACCAACATAATATGTAATATCATACATAATAATATTAAGCATTTGTCTAAAATATTCATTTTTGTAAAAAAACCTCCTATGTATTTATATTTTTAATCTTGTTATAAATCTAAATTATTCATACACATAACTGCACTCCAAAAATCAAACATGGCATGTTTAACTTTTTCCTCAATTTTCATAATGTTATATGCGTTAAGTGTGCATGTCCCTACACTAATGTGCTGGGATCTACAAAAATAGCATTTCATACATGAACTCATCCTATGCTGTAAAACTATGGAACGAATATTAAGTGAAACAAGCATAAGACTTTTATACTTATTTGAATATTTACTATAGTCGATATGCAATTCCTTCAGTAACATTATAGATAATTTTACTCCAAGCCACGCATTGCCAACTTTGGGTTGTAATGTTTGTTTTCAGAAAAGTTAAATGAAACATAAAGTATATAGGCCTATTTATGTTTACAGAATTTGTAATATTGATTTCAAAGTTTTTAAACCTTCAGGTTTTCCTCATCACAGTACCGTTTAAATCTTATAATAGTATTGGTTTCTTAGATTTTTCGGATCGAAGTAGTGTTTTTGAGTTACATCATAACCGTTTTCGGAATATTCTTATATTTAGGCTATAAACTTTCCCCCTGTATAAAAAGTAAAACTTAAGACTGATCTTGTAAGTGAGTCAGAGTGAGCGGAGTGATTATCGATGCAGAGTGAAGGTTAGGCTAGGTCAGGCTAGGAACCTTGATAGGATACAAATCCACGCCAGCCACCAAACTGAAACACCAATATAAATATGTTAAACATGTCTGCCACTATAGCAATATGATCTAGCCTAATACTTTGGTAATGCTCAGATGTATGTAAATGAGTTTTTTAATGTTACTTTTTTCATCCATATTCCCTATATCTTATCCGTCTGAAAAAAGATAAATAGAGAAATTAAATACTTGTCATCCTGGAATTTTCAAAATTTTATGAGTTACAAAATAAATATGACTTAGAGAAAAAGTGCAGGTTTTATGTGTTATAGTATACAAATACCGAATTCAAAATTTTGCTCGCTTCCTCGGAGTGTAATAGTAGTTTACGCAACGATTGCGTAAAGACTATTAACGCGAGTTGCGTACACTACTTTACCTACGACAGTTTTTTAATTACTAACAATCTGGTTTTTTATTACTAACAATCACTACTCATAACTTCTTAGAGAGGTTATGTTTTCGTTTATTGTCAGTGCCACTGAAAGTGATGCAACGACTTATTGTATAATCAGCTGATTTCATGTAATTACGTGTTTGTAAAACTTCTATATTAAGTTACCTTTTTCAGGGAATAGCTTCTGCTAGCAGCATTCTTACCTTAAATACTGTATCATGTACAATTAATGAAATATTGCATTTCTTTTTTGACGACTGAATGAACCCTTTTAGTCCAGTCAATGAATGCTCAAAACGGGGGTGTAGAGGACATGGAGAGGGGGAAATTTTTTTCTGCGGGAATGTGTTCGGGGTAGTTAGAAGATAAAAATACCAAAAGTCCCCGCCCCTGGCCCTGCTGCTTCAGCAGGGGGAGGGGGGGGAAAGACCCAATTTTTTAGTTTTTTACTTCTACACTGAAAACCGTGCATCGTACGGAAAAAATGTAAATTATAAAAAGAAAGATAATGAAATTCTCTACAAGAATAATAATATTCATTTCTTCCGTATATGCATTGGTTTAAAAGATATTCTCAAAATAATATAAAAATTCTTAAATAAATTGATTTTTCACGCGTTTTTTTGTCAAATAAGTTTATATAATCCATTAGCCTGTTGTTGTTTTACATCAATCAGGATAGAAAACAGGGTTTTGAACACTTACCTATATAATATAATATATCAAGCGTATATATTATGTTAAAAATAGTTTATATACATTTAAGTAAGTTATGTATATTTGTAATGGAAACAAGTAATTTTGGCATAATTATTACACTAAAAATTAAAAAGATTATGTTTGTAGCTATATTTGTCCAGGTTTATTTATAACAATTACCGACTTAATATTATTGTTCATGGTCTGGCTCACTTGGGACGAGAGGGTCCGACTTCTGTCCCAAAAACTGGTGCCATCTGGAACTGAAAACCACCATCTAGGACATCTCCATCATTTAATTTTTGTTGATTAGACTCAATATAGGCTATCGAAGTGAGAATTCGGTGTAGGCCTGTATATTCTTCATCTTCCTCATTCATCAGAATGGGAATTTCATGTAAAAAGTTCCCTTAGCAGTTCTGGCATAACTGAGAACAATTATTGGACATTTTCTTGCATGCACAATTTGCACATTTGCTGTATATATCCTCTCCGAAATATTTTATTAGCTAACTTAAATACTATTAGCTAGAAGATATTTTAGAGCTCAAATGCATATAAAAATACGTTATTGTGCTTTAAATTCCACATTTTTCCGGGGGGGGGGGGGTTAACCACCGGAGCCCCCCCCCCGGAAATTAAATCCTGGGCCCGCCACTGCTACTGACTTTTTCAATATGTAGCGTCTTTCTTGGTCTGCCATCTTCGTGCTGTTTTCTGAATTGCTATATCCGTCAAAAACAACAATGCATTACCTTACAAGGTATCCACGTACCTCACGTATCCATCACATATCACAGACACTGAAGATCCCCTTTGCCATATAACCTTATGCGTGAGAAATACCCCATCGATAACCAAACTAAAAGTCGTTAAAACTGTTGTTGGTTGGTTGGAACTTGAACAGTGCAGGCATTTTTGGTCTTTACTCATACCAATCTCATTAAATAAAGGGAAATGGAGCAAGTTCAAATCGTTAACAATCCTTTAAATCTTTATAACTTTTTAACTTATACAAATCCTTGAAACAGAATTAAAGGTTTTGCTGCAACGTTTTAATCCTTGATATCGATGGTTGAACTCACAGAGGACAAAGGGAGAGCCATATTTTCCCGTGACAGCTTGTTGTCTGCAAATGATTACAATTTCATTAATTACTCGCAGACTACGTAATACAGCATCGTAACAGTTAACGGATTCATCTCCTACAACCCCAGATGCTATTGACATGATGTCTTGAGTTTCAGGGAAGAGTGGGTGATTTTCAAACATTGCTGTCAGTTTATAAATATATGACATTTCATCATTTGTATCATTTAATCAAGGACAACTCTGTATGGAAAACCAACTACCCTCAGAAATGTGGGATTGGGAGCGCAAAAAAGGTAATCTATTCCCAGTTTTAACCAATGAACCACCTAACCCACGATAAATGTGAGGCTTGTTTTTTGCAAATATAGGTACTAAAGATTGTAGAAATGAAAGATGTACATGCAATGAAATGTCCATTAAATGTTCCTCGTTGGCCGTTATACCACAACTGCTAAAGGGACCGTTTAAATAGAATGCCAATTCTGATAATTGAGGATGATGAAGAATATATACACTGCACTCTCACATCGATAGCAGATATTGAGTCTAATGAACAAGAATTGGATTATGGAGAGACCATGAACAATAGTATTAAGTCTTGGTTTCGGTAATTGATATAAATAAACCTGGACAAATATAGCTACAAACATAATCTTTTTAATTTTTAGTGTAATAATTAACTAGAGTCTAAACCTTCGCTAAATCATCACGATGTTGTCCCCTGGCACTGCGGAGTGGGGGAAGCAAAGCATTCTATTGGCTGAGGGAACACCATTACCGCAACGATACGAGTTGTAGCCACCGGCCTCGGTGGTCTAATGGATAACGTGCCGGGCTAAGGATCTGAAGGTACCAGGTTCGAATCCTCTCGGTAGCACTAACTTTTTGTCTAAGATTTTTGCATTATCAGCAAGTTTGGTTAGTTTGGTTAGGTTATGACAGTTTAATTTGTTAATTAAAACATTATAAAATTCAATTTGAGCTATTATAATTTTAGAACTATTTTTATTCTATTAGTAAACCTTGTTCGATTTTTCATTATCAGCAAGTTTGGTTGGTTTGGTTAGGTTATGACAGTTTAATTTCATAATTAATAAATTCTAAAATTGAATTCAAGGCATTTATAATTTTTATTTTTTCGATTAGTAAACCTTCATTCGATTATTATTTTATATATTTTTTTTTATATAATCAGCATGTTTGGTTGGTTAAGTTAGTTTATGACAGTTTAATTTTATAAATATTCATTTTTTAACTTATTGAAAAACTGCAGCATAGGTTTATGATATGCATGTAAAACAACGCGGGCTTGTTTGGACGCCGTCTAGAGGCAACTAGAGGGGAGGTGGAGGGAGAATCATTTCCCCCACTCCGCAGCGCCAGGGGACAACATCGTGATGATTTAGCGAAGGTTTAGACTCCAGTTAATAACTATGCCAAAATTTCTTGTTTCCATGACAAATATACATAACTTATTTAAATTTATATAAACTATTTTTAACACAATATATACGATTGATATATTATATTATATAGGTTAGTGTTCAAAAACCTGTTTTCTATCCTGATTGATGTAAAACAACAACAGGCTAATGGATTATATAAACTTATTTGACAAAAAACGCGTGAAAAATCAATTTATTTAAGAATTTTTATATTATTTTGAGAATATCTTTTAAACCAATGCATATACGGAAGAAATGAATATCACCATTCTTGTAGAGAATTTCATTATCTTTCTTGTTATAATTTACATTTTTTCCGTACGATGCACGGTTTTCAGTGTAGAAGTAAAAAACTAAAAAATGGGGTCGTTCCCCCCCTCCCCCCGCTGAAGCAGCAGGGCCAGGGGCGGGGACTTTTGGTATTTTTATCTTCTAACTACCCCGAACACATTCCCGCAGAAAAAAAATTTCCCCCTCTCCATGTCCTCTACAATCCCTTTATTGACTGGACTATTTGTAATATCCCTTTGTTAATATTATAATGGTTTTACTATAAAGTGAAATAGTTAATTTACAGTTAGTTCTTAGCATCAAATATTATAGAATATTATAAACAGTTTGTGCTCTAATTTCCATCTAACTACACTTTCACTAACTGACATTTTTAAATCAGTTTAATCTACCTTCCTTAACTTCCACCAACTTAGGTTAAGAATACGCGAGTATCAACAGGTACAAGTCGGATCAACAATTAAAATTGTCAACTGATCAGCTGATCACCTGATTAGTTGACATTCGAAGCATTACAATTTTTACTTTTTTTCTCTCAATCCTTGAACCTCATTGGTCCGTTACCCGTGTTGTTATGAGAAAAACTATGCTGTTATGAAATAAAAATATGCTGTTATGAAAGTAAACAGCTGTTAAGTGAAACTTTTCAATTCTAAGAACTGAACTGAAATGGTACTTTAAAAAACGGTCGTAGGTAAAGGAATTTAATAAGCCCATTTTAGAGATAATTATAGTGTTATGAATCGGGTGGATATTATATAGAAGAGTAAAGAAACGGTAGCCTATAATGAGAATTCGTTTCACTCGTTATGCAAAACCAAAATACAGTAGTTTAGTTACAAAACCATAAGTGTTTAAACTTTGACCATAGTCGAGTAACTGTAAGTCGCTAATTGTGTTTGCCGTTACAAGGACCATCTGTTTTTCAACTTCGCCTTAGTGAATGAAATATACATCCAACACCTTTTCTACTCACGTATACAAATCCTTTTATATTTAGTTTTTATTTCTCGACGACGTTCAATTGAGAAAAACCTAGATTTGGCATACAATTTAATTTATTTTCAGTAAAAATTTAAGTCCTCCCTACCTTGAAACATTTGACTGATTGCTCCTGAAGTAACAGGCGTCGGCCTGACGGTGTTAGCTGTGTCTACGTTGTCGATAAACTGGTAGCTCGCGTTAAACCCCGTACCGTCCAGACGGTCGTTCGACCAGAAGGTCACTCGGAAAAACTTCCGGTCGGACTCTATCTCAAAGTCCTTTAGCTGACCACAGTGTCTTGAGTACTTCCGGTCTCTGGCCATAAAGTTGGAAAACTCAACGTAGTCGCTGGCAGATGTCGCTTCACACCTGAAACATGAGCCGAGTGATGAACTTTGTTGAGTGCTGTCTGTGTAAGAAGAAACGTCTTATAAAACTTAAAACATATATTTACGTCATTGTAGTTGTTAGCCTCCGGATTGCCAAATAATATTAGAAAAGGTTTAAATACCTGCTATAAAGCAATCTAATTTTGTTGTTAGCACAACTAGTTTCGGTGTCTGTGTGACACCATCATCAGGCTGCACAAGGACAGTTTTCTTTCTTCAGTCTGGACTCAAACTCTGCCGGGTTAGCGTCGTCTGTTTTCTTAACTGATCAGTTACCATAAATGTCTCGTATTCATGTTTGTGTCGTGTTTAAATGTTTATTTATTTTCGTGTAAATATGACGCTCTTCGTATGAAGAAAGAAAACTGTCCTTGTGCAGCCTGATGATGGTGTCACACAGACACCGAAACTAGTTGTGCTAACAACAAAATTGGATTTTTTTTATACAAACATTATTTACACATTAAACTTTATTAAACTTTATAAACTTTAGTTAAACTTTAGTTTTATAAACTTTATTTAAACATTTTCTAATATATTTACGCTTATACTGTTACTCACAAGACGGTAAATATACAAAAAAGATGAAGTGGTGATCGATTTCAATTGTACACTCCAATCATCATCAGATCCAATAAGATCATTCACCTATTGGGTCTAATGATGATTGGAGTGTCCAATCGAAATCGATCACCACTTACCACCTTTTTTGTATATTTACCCTCTTGTGAGTAACAGTATAAGCGTAAAGATATGTTTTAAGTGTTATAAGACGTTTCTTTTATTTACTTTCCATAAATTTAATAACACGTACGAAGCTGATCAAGAAGTTATTTAGAGAGATAAAATAGAGAATGTTTGACAATATTTTATTAAATAAACCATAAAGACAACTATTATCTTTCTATTAATATGTTTTGTTCACTATTGTGCTACTCTTTTCTTCATATTATATTTATAAATAATTAATCGAAAAGCAAATATTTAGCTTATCAAACACAAGAATGTGAATACCTTAAAAAAATCACTGCAGAGTCTGAAGTCAAAATATGGGAACAAATCTGAAAAGCTAACACTGAAATACACGTAATTGCAAGGCTGTATCGTGTTTATAAATTTAAAATCATCCCGTTTTCTCTAATTACATTTTACATATAATTTTTACTACTGCAATTCTGTGATAAACGCTAGTAAAATTGTCTTGAGATTTAAACTAATTTGCGAACCCATTTTACTCTACAGTAAACCACTTGGGACAAAGTGAGTTCTTAGAATTGTGAGGGTTTAAAGGGCTGAGCAAATAAAAGAGGTACTCGAGAGTTTTCAGACGCTAGTATGCTTTGTTTTATTTCCTCGTTTAACAGAAATAAATAAAGTAAAATACCTTCTTGTTTGTGTTAAGCCTTTAAATTAAAGTATACCTAGCAATTGGTAATGCTTTACATTTACTCCACATTAATAATACACTGTGTCTACATATCTCTGTTGGCTAAGAATCAAACGATAATTTATGAAACTTGGAAGTAGTTCAAGTTGAATGCAGATTACTGCTGTTTGCTCTCACAAAAGTAGGTGAATATGTATCTAAAAACTGTTTTTAAAATTAGTTTTGTAGTAAAAACTGTTACAGTACTCTACACTAAAGATTAAAAGGATAAATGTTATCGGTTTAAAGAGATGTGTGTATGTAGCACTTTGAAATATGATGGTACAAAGTTTTACAGACATTATTATAGAATGTAAATTGTAAACAAATAAACAGTTGGTCTTAAAAAGATTAACGTTAGATTAGCACTGTGTGAGTGTGTAAGCTACCACGCAAAATAATTTAAACTGAGTGACAAAAATAATGTTTGTTGACTAGGCAGTTACAGCTATTTAAATTTGTAATAATATCAAAATATTAACCTAACTATATTTTACAGACCTATAAATGATACCAGAAAAATACAATTTTTATTAAACTTATAATGGTAGTTTCAAATTGCGTTGTTGATGTACCATTGACCTTAACTATAAACCATTAAGTCAAAATACCGTTTCATCTGCTAAAAAGAAATTATTTTGTAATTTACTAGTTTTATTATTTATATGCAAGAGAAGATAAAGTTATATTGTGAAACTAGATAGGCAACGTATATGTACTATAATTGAATGTCGAGAGAGTGAATAAAGCGTAAATTCAAATGATATTTTGGCTAACGAGGTGTATTATTACATATAATTTCTTAAAACGTTATCAAAATATTTTTTTAATTCATGTTTTTAATTGCATTAACATACTCTGGGGTCTTTAATCAGAATTTTCTAAGCTAGTTCCATAAACGCATTTAACATTTGCAATACATCATATCCTTTATTTGACTCAAATTATATCTTCTAAACTACATCCAATTACTTTATTAATTTAGTTTCAATTAATGCAGATTTTATCAGATTTTCATAACAACAGTTGTCCTTACAGAAAAAAGTACAGTTGCAGTTGTCTCTGGTACATATAGCTTAAAAGTTAGCTTATCACGTTTATTTAAATTTATTTAAAGATTCTTGTTTCAAAATTAGGCTTAATTGGCTTTGATTGGTTTAATTAGAATCGTTAAGACATATCACAATAACAAGACATATTTAATACTATTAAACAACTATTAATGGAATTGTTCGAATTCAAAAATTTGTTTGTTTTGTAAAATATCTTAAATTTCTGTTTTAAAAGTCTTATCAAGTCAAGTTGTTATTTTATTATTTTTTACATTTTAACTTATGCAAGGAGCTGAATGTTAATTGTGTTTATTCCTCAGTAGTGATAGAGAAATTGTTTTATTTTATTAGCTTAGTTATTTTAATTACGATGTATTACGTCCCAAGTATGTGTGTGTGTGTGAATGTGTCTGTTGCAGCTACGCCGGTGCGCGTCGTCGGCGCCTCGCCGCGGGTCCGAGCTGTAGGTCCAGGATAGCGGACCTGCACAGCGTCGCCTCAGTCACCCCTCCCCCGCCCACTCCTCTCCCTACTGATAACGCCCAGATCCTTATCAACAACCTCGCTCCCTTTGCCAAACAATTCAAAGCTGCTCACATCAATGCTCAATCCCTCACAAAACATATTGACGAAGTCAGAGCAATATTTCGGACTCAAAATTTTGAAATCATTGCAGTTTCAGAGACTTGGTTGAAGCCGAGTATTTCACCTGGGTTGATCGCACTGCCTGGTTATTCAGTTTTCAGAAACGATCGTTTAGGAAAAACAGGTGGTGGCGTTGCCGAAAGACGGTTTGCAAGCCAGGCAGTTGTACGAGTCCCCGGGTGAGTACTCTGCTAAACCTGAATTTATTTTTTTGGAAATTCGTTTGTCTGGTTCGGATGCTCTTCTCCTGGGGACATGTTACCGTCCTCCAGGAGTGGGGCATTTGGCCGACTTTGAAAATACTCTCTTGCGCCTCATGCCAGGCTACAGTCGTGTCTTGATCATGGGTGACTTTAACTGTGACTTACTCAAACCTGGACGTTACGATTGCAGACAATTGACAAACATGTTTGACTCTTGTAACTTGGCGATACTACCACTGGACCCAACCCATCACACTGCTGAAGCTGATACATTACTAGACCTTATTATTCTAAGTGATCCCGAATTTTCAGTTCACCATGGCCAGCTTCCAGTCCCTGCCATTTCTCGACATGACCTTATTTATTGTGCCCTTGCCACGAGAGCTCCCAAGCCCAAACAAAAACATATATCTTACAGAGATTTTAGAAATTTTAACGAAGCAAATTTTTAGTCTGATGTAAATTTAACGCCTTGGCACTCCATACATACCCTGGAGTCAGTTGATGATATGGTCGATTCACTTAATGAAATCATTTTAAAATTATATGACAAACACGCTCCAATTGTCAACCGTAGGGTTAGTAAAAGTCGCCCCGTTCCTTGGATTAATGATGAGATAATTGGTTTAATGGCTCGGCGGGACTCAGTCCATCGCAGAGCCAAAAGAACTAGGGATCAAGGGCTCATGGCCCAATATCGCCAGCTTAGAAATCAAGTAAAACAACATTTACGCAATGCTCGACTCCAATTTTTTAATAGATTGTTTTCTGAAGGAAAGCAATCCTCTGCTATTTGCTGGCGTAATCTAAAACGTTTTGGCTTTGGAAAGCAAGTTAACATTGTCCCCATATCAATTCCGTTAAACGATTTAAATGATTATTTTTTAACAGTTTCATCACAGGCAAACGGTACAATAGTTCAGAACCATTAACAGAGTTACGCCATTTGCCAAATTCCATCACTCAATTTAACTTCAAGCCAATATTGCAAATCGATGTTTTGAAGGCTGTTAACGTCTGAAGCCACTGGTTCTGACAGAATCCCAATTTCTTTAATTAAACGTATCTTGTTTGCTCTCCTCCCAACATTAACTTTCATATTTAATACTTCACTAAGATCAGGTATTTTCCCAGAAAAGTGGAAGTCTGCGCTTGTCCGTCCCTTGAATAAAATCTCATCCCCATCGCTTCCGCAAGACTACAGACCAATTAGCATTCTTCCCGCTCTTTCTAAGGCACTAGAAAGAGTCATTCACTCCCAAGTTTCTGACTTCTTGGTTTAAAACAACATCCTCAATAGCTTTCAATCAGGTTTTAGTAAATCTTACAGTACTGAAACGGCAATGCTTCATGTAACTGATGACATACGATTTGCTATGGATCGTAGCCAATGTGCTATCTTAACATTATTTGACTTCAGTACAGCCTTCGATACCGTAAACCATAGCATTCTTCTAGCCAAACTCAAACTGTTAGGTTTCTCTGATAATTTATTAAAATGGATGAGATCATATCTTCAGAGCCGAAAGCAGTGTGTTTCTCATGACAACTTGACGTCCGGCTGGAGACATGTTCCCTGCGGAGTTCCCTAGGGTTCAATTCTTGGTCCTCTGCTTTTCACCATTTACATCAATGACATCAGTACAGTTCTACACCACGCAAAGTTTCATTTGTACGCTGACGACTTGCAAATCTATTCTCATTTTAAAGTGAGCGATGCAAATGAAACTATAAACATGATGAATCACGACATCAACAGAATTGTTCAATGGGCAGAAAAGAACGGACTTAGACTCAATCCTGACAAAACAAAGCCAATCATCATAGGTCACTCACGGTTACTCAACAAAGTGGACTTAGACATTTTACCAAAAATCACTGTAAACGGAACCACTTTGCAATACCAGGACAAAGTAAAAAGTATTGGTTTGACTCTAAACCGCACATTGGACTGGACTGACGCGGTGGTAAGCACTTGTAAAAGAGTGTTTGCCGCTGTTCACACACTGAAGAAGATGCAACAACTTCTACCTTTTCACATAAAACTCTTACTGGTCAAATCACTCGTGTTTCCACACTTCAACTACTGCAACACCGTGGTTAATGATATGACTGTGGCTTTGGCAACAAAATTACAACGTGTACAAAATTATTGTGTTCGATTCTTGTTCAATCTTAGGCGTGATGACCATGTCACACCCTATTACATTAATGAATCAATTTTGAAATTAGAGGACGTCAGGAAATACGAATACTTTCCATTACTCATTCAGTCATCAATCTTGGAATTCCAAATTATCTTGCAAAGAATTTTAAATTTTTGAATGGAAGAGGCGCAAGGGATACCCGCTCTGGCTCGTCCACGCTTCGCATTCCTCATCATTGAACAACTGTTTATAATAAATCATTTTTAGTAACAGCCTGCCACCTATGGAACTCCATACCTCTGCCCATCAAATCTATAGAAAACCGATCCCGACTGATGGTGGCGCTGAAAGAATATTACCTTGACCGGATGGCCGTGGCTTGGCGGGATGGCGTGCGTTAGGCCTAGATGCAGCAGAGGGTGTATGTGTGTGTGACTGGATGTTAGGGAAAATGAATAGATTTATGCCATTTTATTACTAGCTATATTACAAACTTAATAGTATTTTTTGTTATTATTTTGTTGTTATTATTAGTTTTTTAGAGGTTAACTGTAAGAAAGGACCATGTGGTCCTAAGTTCGCCTCAATAAAGAAGCATTTTCATTTAATTTAATTTCATTTCATTTCATTTCATTTAATTTCATTTCATTTCATTTCATTTCATTTCATTTCATTTCATTTCATTTCATTTTCATTTTCATTTCATCCAATGATACTCTCAGCATGCATGTAAGTAAAGACTTTCGAAAGTATCACTTTCACGGAAAGCAAACAAAATCACTTACGGGAGGACTCCTTCGACGTCGAAGTAGTGGAAGTGAAGACGAACCCTCTGGTTGAGATCTCCATGGAAGAAGTAGTGACACTCAGTGTCCCGAGGATAGAACCCAGGAAAGTTGGGGGAAGAGAAGGTACCGTTGGGGGAACCGTGGGGACCGGAGCTGTTGAACATGAAGGCGCAAGGCAGAGCATCATGTTGAACACCCGTCATGACTCCAAAGTCTGGGAAACCCAAAATAATGTGAGGAAACTAGTTAAAAGTATAACATCTGTGTGACCATTCTTAATGGTTTTGATAGTTTCCAAATCCAAATTATCTTAAATTATAAGCACTGTGATTGACAAAGATTTTGAAAACTCTCGAGCGAATGTGATTTAAAACTTTATGGTTCATGTAGTACTATAAACCATATATTTACTTTGGCCTACAGTTCTTAATAAAACCTTCATTATGCTGGTTAACGTAATATATAACTTTCTATATTTAGATGTAGAAACTTAATGCAAACATAATGGTCATAGATATTTTTGTATTAAGTCTGATGAAAAGTGCTGTAAGGACCTTAAATTTTTATTTTTTTTTAAGAGGTTGGCGGCCTCTTTTAACCTTGCATTTTCCCGTCCACATAGACTACAGATCTGTGCGTGGAACGTATCCAGCAAAGCAAGGGGTGAGCCGGTACAGTACAAAGGTGAACTGTACTGATAAAAGTTAGTGGCAGTGACCAGGATCCAAACCCACGACACTACTGCCTTGGGCCCGAAGTCCGCGACGCTACCGACTGAGCCACCGACTCACCAAATATAAATAGTGCAAATAGTGATTGACTATAAAAATAAAATGTTCTCTCTTCACTGGGACTTTGGTAGTAGATTTTCTAAGAAAGTCTTTAAGATTTACAATAAGAAGTTATCTGTCATGCACATTAAAACGTTGATGTTTAGGATATAAAAGAACAACCTATAAATTATTGTGATACATTCATAAATATCATTATCAAACCGTCAACTTTTGGAACACGGGTGGAACATATTTTTGAAGCTAAATCAGTATAATGTAACTCAGGGTTTATCTTTTATTTTTATTTTATTAATTTCATCTTTACGTATGTGTTATACACATGTAGAAATACAGATTTGTTTTTAATTTGATTATTATAACCAAAGCACATTTCGTAGGGGCAATGTAATACAAAAATTTTACATATAATTATACTCTTAGCATGCATTACCGATATATGTGCTTTTTAAAATGTAAATATTCCATGCGGCAGGTAAAGTTTGCTTAAGACCGGCGTCATCACGTAGCAGTGTTCCACCAAACTCGCTAAACCGTCTGAATATTCATGAGAATTATGTTTTGTTTTGACGTGTCTTAATATTTCTGACACATACGTTTCCACTTCAACGAAAACTATTTCTATTTTGGTTTCCGATTAAACTTTACTACGATCAAATGGTTAAAAATTAGTAATCGAATATAAAACTATATATGCAATTGAGTTTGAATAAGGAGATTTTCTGATTCCTTTTCTATGGTTTTTACACGAAATTAATTTTAATACGTTATTATGAATAGCGATAGAATACTGAAGAATATTTTCATAGATAAGTGTGCTTCATTATTATGTACGTGAATAATATATATATATATATATACATAAATGATTGATACTATTTAATATAAATAGGTTCAACATCTAATAGTATTTTTGCTTTAAGTCATTAAACGGTTTTCATTTGTGTGGCCTATACTTTATGCAATTTTGATGAAGTGTCCACTCTTCATCAAAAATGTGTTATATGTGTTATGTGTTATCTAAAGTTTATCTAGTTTGTGCCAGCAGCAGTTATACACTTTCAAAAAACTACAAATAAAAAAATATATAACAATATAACGTGTATTTACTACAAATATTCAATACATATATTCATATATTTGATTCTTATACTAAGTTTGATAGGCTATCAAAAACATTCAAAAGTTTTTTTTTTTTTTTTTAGAAATCTTTATTGTTTTTTCCATACAACAAACAAACACAAAAATACATTTACATATGAAAAAAGAAAAAAACAATAACCACCTTAGGTTAAAAACCTATGTTGGTAGATTTATACACTTTCTTATATTCTAAAAATCGAAGAGGCGGTTTTGTCCGGTCACTTATATCACTTGGTTATAATATATACAGTGAGTGTGAGTGTGTTTAGTAGACAAATCATGTTTGGTTATCAAACATTATAAAAATGTATAAATAGACTTTTCCAAACCTTTACTCTTAATTCATTTTTAATGACTCTTATGTAAAAACCTCCCAGTTCGCCAGCTGCCGGCTACGATGACAAGGGGTCTGCAGCGTCCATGACTAAACCTCCATGTTGAAAAATCAACCCTTATTTCTAACTGCATTTTAAGTTAATAATTTTTTAAAATACAATAGATAAATTTGGCTGGTATTGGTTAAAATGTTGACATTAATAGTGTGTTGAATAATTAATCATTTAATGAATTGTGCCAAAATCGATTAAGTAAAATACAAATTTCTCAAGCAGTTTCTTACAGGATTGATTTGTAAAATGCCATTTTCTTTTAGTAAATAGGAAGTTTGTGTTTGCAATTAAATAATATTAAGGTGAAAGGGAAGATTAATATAATAAATATTAACAAGTTGAACTACATGTAATGTACATGTATTGTAGTTTTATTCTTTCTGTTTTGGGGAGGGGAATTTGTTTATATTGGTTTTATTGATAGCTGAATATGTATGATTTTGAAATTTGCATAAACTCTAATAATGTCCATACATATTTAGATTACTGGACAGATTTTTGCACCAGTAACATCTTATTGTAGTCCTTGTTATAGTCAAAATCTATGCCTAGGTAGTTTTCTTGGATTTCGTTTTACAGCCTTTTTATGGATTAATTAAGAAAAACTTTAAACTATACTAATGATTCCTTCGTGTTTATTAATAATCAAGTAAACAATTTAGTTGCGCATCAGAAGATACACTTATTGAGCTCGTATTTTATTTGTTACGTTTTGTTAAAACAATCTGTGTGAGCAACTAAACTCTTAACTAACTAGAAGATGAAGAAAATCTCATCTTACCACAATGTTATTGTCTCCCATAAAAAAATGAATATTCCATGTCCTTACCCATCAAAATTAAAACACATAAGCTGTAACTGACTTTACACTTACTTTCCGTGAAGACATAGTTGGCTCTGAACCCTCTTGCGTATCTTGATGAGTATATTCCCCTGAACTCTAACATGAGTCTGGGTCCATTGCTCATCAGAGGTTTGGGCAGAGAGTTTCCACAGAAGTTATCTATCTTCTCTAACCGCCCTTCAATCTGCACGTAAGCCATCAGGGAATCTATACTCTCACACCTGTAAGCAATATAATGTATAATAAAAGCAACTATTAAAGATAATAATAAATTCAAATATAAAACCCAGTTGAGCCAATAAACTCAATATTTTTTTTTATATGTCTCCAAATTATTATTAAATTACATCATAATAGATTTCTTATAGTCTGATACCTTCTTTAAAATAGTTAATTAATACTTAACAAGTAAAAGTATTGGGCATGATATAAAACTGTTCTGAAAATTATGATAGATATTCTACTCAACCTTTCACTTTTAAGAAATACCTCACATGATTCTTGATTCTCTAACATCAGACTAACGATTCGTTAGGGATTTGTCAATATCAAAGCATAACAAGAATGTGAGTTGCTTTGAATATTGTAAGTGGAACGTGAATTTCACTTCTTCTTACCATGAATTTCGTTTTATTTCTCCAAAGGCCTGTTTAAATTTGACAGCTACAAAGAGGAAGCATATTCATATCACATTATGAGAGATCTAATTAAACATGTTTTGACACTCCCTTTGAACAAAAGCGGATATTATAATTTTGTACAACAAAGTATCTATTTTAACATGTGTGGTTTGAGTTAATGTTCCTCTTGCTAATGTTCCTCTTGAAAGGAGGACTCATAATGTTATTTATTTTAGAGATATAAAAAATTATGATAGGTAAAAACTGTTGTTTTTAAGTACATAGAAAGGCTAAAAGCAGTTAAAATGAGTAATATATTAAGGTACAATAGGTAACGTAACTTGAAGGGTATAGTCGGTTTGTAAAGTCTTAATAATTGATCAGATAGATCCTGCATTTTAATTAGAAAGCATGGGGTTGGACAAACATTTAATTTCATCACGCTGTAATACCCTCTACATTAAATCATGATTATGTGTTTATAATATTATTATAATCATAAATATGGAGTATAAGTAAGATCTTGAAAACACTGTAGGCCAAAGGTTCTTTAGGTTAACAGACACGAGACATATGAGTTCGGTTAAATATTTAAAAATCATCGTTATCTGAATTTATGATTAACAAAAAATATATACTGTATACTGTCGACTATATAATTTGAATAGGTTTTTCAATTGTGTCCTCATAACAAAATCTTTTAGTCCTATCCCAGAGTTATAGTACTGTATATGAAATGCAAAACAAAAAGCACAAGGACGAGTAGACTAGAAGATGTATATGTAATATGAAATAGGTTTAGGCCTGCAAAAAACTTTGAAAAAAACTATAATACAGTAGTGCATTGAGAAGGAGCACACTTTTTCACCTGCATTAGGTTGTTCTTATTATACTTACTTCGATGAAGATTTTTTTTTAAATTCTTTATTGTTCGTCCAAAAATATCCTATTTATTATTGCGGTAGAAAACTTTTCAACACAATGCGACTACAAACAGCATTTAACTTTTTTCAAATAGCACAACATCAATCATGGTCCGACCCATAATTATTTAGGGGAGTATTCATGTTTTTTTTGTAACTCTTAAAAGGAGTAAAAAAATTGAGATATTACCATTAAACCTAAATTGATTGTTCGGCCATTTCTAAAGGGGTAATTTTGTGTCCACTTATTCAATTTTGTGCAATAAATTTTCAAACCACTCTAGATTTACAATAAAACACTTACTCTTTGGAGTCGTCAGTAGGGTGGTACAGGTTGAAGTCTGTGAACACCAACTGCACCCTCTCCTTTCCCCTCCCTCTGAAGTCGTAGCGACAATGGCTCCTGGGGGCGTATGGGTTGGGGAACGACGGAGAAGTGACTGTACCGTTCTTGACTGTATCACTGCTGATCATGACGTCACAGCTGGAAGCTGAGGAAATATTAAATAACTGTAAATAACACTTTACATTGTAATTTTGTAGTAGACGCTATTTGTGTTAAACCCTATTTTTAAGTATAGTGAGTTTTTAATTGTTCTTTTACTTTCCAGGAGATATTAACAAATTATCAACTCAAACACGATTGCCTTCCAAAGAAAAATGCTTGTAAGATAAAACATTCTTTTATATTTATAAGTTAAATGACTTTTTTTTATCCTCCTCAATTTAATTTTACCTAATTAAGTTGGATGACGTTTATTTAAAAATCCACCTCAATTTCATTTTACCTACTACTAAGATATTTGTTTACGTTTACAATAAATACATAATCTTAATAACGATATTAGTTACGGTTATAAATTTAAGTACAGTAAATAAATATTCTATGCTTGTTGGAACGCCAATAAATGGCAAAGAACAGCAGTACAAATTGTGTAGAGGTTGATTTCAGAGTTACCGCAGACAACGCGTATTTCATTGATTGATGCTACTTAAAACCAACACTCGCCCTTCATATCCCACATGAATGCGCATATTGTTCCGTTGATTAAACCATAGAATTTCATTCAATGCTCATTTTGTATGTTAGTGTATTCAATTTAATTTTGCCTAAGTTATTCTGTAATTTATGGAATGAAAAAATAAAACTCTTCACATTATTTGGTAAACGTATTTTTTCATGACTCATCTCACGTAATATTAGTAGTAGTCTCACGTAATAATTTTGCATTATTTTAATATGTTACTATATTCTAATGTCTTTATTGTGTATTGTCGTTACTATACTTAAATATAACCTCAGTATATAAAAAGTTTTCCTTTATCTTCGAATCGTTATTAGATATTATAAATTTACTATACGAAGGAGACCTACCTCAACATCGAATTTTGATAGTCAGGTCCTTAAAATTAGACTTGAGAACTGTACTGTACTTTTGTAAACGTAAAATGTGAGTAAGTATGTTGTAATTATGGTTGTGAAACAAATATTTGAGAAAAATATAATGTGAAATAATAATTTTAAACTATGATCTCTGTAAATTTTTACACTTAACAAAATCGAAATAAAACAAATGTTTTTTAACCTGTTTATATGTTTTGTAATTTTAAATTTTGAAGATGCCAGGTTTCTAAAGAGATTTGTCCTTAACATCGTGTGTATTTCCTTCATACCGCACACAATTAAATAATGTTTATACTCAAATATTCTTTTTTTGCTATAGTCATACGGAATGTTCAATAGTAAGTTAACAACACTACCATTCAAACCACTTTAACGAGTGATCTGACCATGTATTGGTCACACATATCTTATGGTGGCCATATTGTCTATGACAATAAAAGTTAGGTAATAAAGCTTCTATTTAAGGTAGTAGGTAAACATTAAGTGGGCTTTACACGTGTTAACATTAAGGGAGTGGTCAATGGTCAGCCATGTTGTATCTATTTCAAGAGCCTCAGTTTGCGTGTTGCAGGCACGTCTCTGCGTCGTGTTTAGCAACACTTAATATTCCATACACGAGTGTTCCCGGAATATACACGCATTGCTGGGTCTGTTATATGTGATGTTGCATCGGTAGCATTATTGAACATGGCTATACCTTTGACTGTGGCTACGATTGCAAGGAGCTCTCGCTTCGCTGTCAAATAAAGAGATATCTTTACATTTAAGTATTTATCATGGCAAAAAGTGAGGCCAACTCATTATACAGGGTGTCCCCGAACTCTCTACCAAAATTTTTGAGCATTGTTCCTAAGTTAAAAACATATGTAAATACCATATTTAAATTGTCCGGAAGTCCTTATTTACTTACACAGCCGCCATTTTGTTTTTCCACTTATTAATTTTTTTCCAAAGAACGGGTAAACATACGGCATTGAAACTTTGCACAAACATTTATTACAACTAAGAAAAGCTAGAAAAAAATTATGAACATTTTCCAAATTCATCAAACAAAATGGTGGCCATCAAATCAACGGTTTTGAGTTATTTACGAAACAAAATTTAAATGGCCGCCATTTTGTTTGATGAATTTGGATTTTTTCTAGCTTTGCTTAGTTGTCATAAATGTTTGTGCAAAGTTTAAATTTCGTATGTTAAGCCGTTCTTTAGAAAAAAATTTATAAGTGAAAAAATCAAAATGGCGGCTGGGTAAGTAAATAAGCCTTTTGCGGCCAATTTAAATATGGTATTTACATACGTTTCTAACTCAGGAACAATGCTCTAAAATTTTGGTAGAGAGTTCCGGGACACTCTGTATACTATATCGTATTTTAAGCCCTTATAAACTAAGTTGGTCTGAATCATAAAGTATTGCATAGTACTAAAATAGTGGCACACACTACGTGGAACTTATCAAACAATGTTCTCTTAGAGGAAAGAAAACTGACTCGTACTACTTGTTATACATTTCTATTAGATCAGAAATCTACAAATTGTTCAACAACGTTAGCAATTTGAATAAACGACACGTATCCGATTTTCATATGCATTACCTAAACTTTGAAACCGCAAACACAATGAGAAATGGGATATAAATAGTTTGGATAAAAACTACTCTACCTGTGCTTCACAACGGAAGAGAAGCGAAACTGAATAATGTTGTGATTAGATCTAATGTATAAAAATTGTTGTTTAGAATCAAAACTTAATTACTTAGTTATCTTAGTGTTAATTTCTTTAAAATCAGATAATTGGATTAAACTTGGCAGCAAACCTAGTTGGGTGAATAAGTATATGTGTGTAAATAAAGTACTCCAACTATTTATTCAATTTTAAATTATACTTAGACCCTTACTTATATTTGAGGTTAATATAACCCTAAACATCTTAGTGTAGTAATAAAATAAATAACACTTGATATTTAAGTTGCATAAAATATGATTTACCCTAATTCTTCGATTTTAGTATTTTTACCTGTAGTTAATTTCACAGAAAACTATAGGTAAAACCCTCCAAAACCTTTACTCCCTTTTTATAACTAAAAATAACTCTACAAATAAATAAATTACTAATATCCCAATTGAAGACAGACACTTTGGTTGAATATATTGTTATGGCATTTAGCACAATACTAATGGAAACAGAATAATTTTCAACTTATTAAAAATAAATCTCAAAGCTGTGTATTGTGCAGTATGCGCCTATATTCAGGATGCAAAGCTTTCTTGGAAAACAGCTGACTCTTTGATCTTTAGAATCATAATTAACATCAACCATATTGTATCAAAGAAAATATAGTTTTTTCTGTTTTATTTTCTTCTCTTTTATCTAACGTAGATTTTAAATAGAATATTTCCTTACAAAGAAGATGCAGTTGACAATTTAAATCCTTTAATCGATGCAATTATAGATTGATTTGTCTGTCAAAAGCTGCTTGAACATATTAATCCTATCGGGTGATGTCAAGCCGGTTTATGGATACAGATTGGAGTGGACTTCACGAGTCAATGTTGAGCTTAAATTATGTTAACTTATATTGGGGTTTAGGTTAATTTTATGTAAATGTCATACTATATGTTACATCAAACTACAACAACTGTGATTAGTTTTGACAAATTTGCGATTTAATATTAATTATTGAGTAATTGTCAGATGTATTCTACTTCAAATTTATTTAACCGCTAAAATGAGTTTATATTCATCAACTTAATAAACTCGGTTCATATTACAATCTAGTTGTTTGGTTAAACTCAGTATTGAACACACAGTGATGCAATATCATGCAAATCATGATTCTGCAACGCTGTATTGGAATCATTATTGCTTACCATTTAATAAGTCTTATAATAATGATAATAAAGTTTATTTATGAAAAGTACTAAGTGTTATATAATTAGGCACAACAAATTCTTTCATGACTCGTTAAACAACATTGTTAAGATGTTATTATGGTTAGCAACATTGTTAACTAAATTAGGACTTAGAGCGTCGAAACGGGTTGGCCCGTAAAACTGAGTGATAAATTAAAATATAGTTTAACTTCCCAATAATTTTATGACCTATTCAAATACTTAACACATCTCTAATATATGTTGATATACATTTTTCATTGCAAATTCTTTCAACTGAGTAATATTTTCATATCAATTGCTAGATTTGTACTTTTTGATCAAGAGAATCTATTTATGGAGATGGAGTAGTCATAAATGAACGTAAACTCTAAAATCGCTTAAACAACGTCAAACTGACCAATCTTGTAAACATAAACATCCCAGATTCGCTTCGCTTGACTACCATCTGGAGCGACTTGGTCATGTCAATAGTAACAGAAGGCTGAAATTCTTCCAAAAATCTAACTCATATTGGCCTCCTCATTTAACTCTGTAATTTTAACTTTAAAAACTATACTTAAAACCATTAAAAACATTATTGGTTTCTGATTTTAGATAATTTAAATAAGGCTTGATTTTGTAGAAAAACCTTTTTGTTCAAGTATTCTACTTAGCAGTAAATTTTATTAGCATAGCGAAGACATTTCTAGCGTTTGTTACACTTATAAAAGAATATTCAAAAAAGGAAAGTACAGCTAAGGCTTGAGTCGAGATTCATCTTTATGAGCCTAAAGATTTTAAACTACTTACTTTATCAAACAATATCATTAGGAATAGGATGGTCCACTGTTAAATACCCCCATCGGCGTTTAGCACTACTAATTCCAAAAGTAAAAAAAAAATTGTTAAATTTATTTTCCTAGTTCAGTAGGCTCAAGGTGTTTTACATTACTTTTGGCTAGATCTAGGGGTTATCTCATTATTACTTCAATAAAATCTATAAAAAGTTTCGAGGGATTTAATTCCGGGCCCTCAGGGACCAAGTCCTGTCTACCATTATACTCGCTTGCCATAAGTATAGTTTAAATGTAAGAAAATTTAAAATACAACACTATAACGAAACAGTTTGTATATATATATATTAAAGATAAACATTAATCCTTTCTTTCCTCTAAATTAGTAAATAACTGAAACCCCCATCGTACTTAATCATTAC